AAAGGTCCACATTCCATGGATGTTTATTGTCATTCACCCATGGATCTCTGGTGTCTATTCTCAAATGGCATTTCCCCACATTTTTCAGGAATGTGACTCCCAACGTTTAACAACAACAAAAAAATAACCATATTCAAATACAACTTCCAAATACCGTACGGGAAAATTCTGTCATTTTGTGCTTCAACAGACATGTCACTATAGATGTGGTACACTTTAAACTTAACTGAAGTGAAAGGTACCATCTTTGGCCTCTCTGTTGCTAAGACAAGCAGCCAGAGGTAGAGGAGTGGGTAAAACCTGCACCGTAGAGGAATTAAGAGGCTGAGGGCACAGGTTGCCTCTGGACAGATGATCTTGAGTAAATTTGGTCAAGAAGTCAGGAAGTCAAGAGGTGGCCAGAAAGACTAAAACTGAAGACTCTGTGAACCACTTAGAGCCGAGTGTTATAGTGGTTTCCATACCCATCACTCTTTAACTCCCAGGAGGGCATCAACCAACCATGCTGAACTTACACCCAGTTCTGCAGCTTCATACTGTCAGGACCAAACCAGAAGAGGTCTATTTTACCAATCCAGATAGAAACAATGAGCTGCTTACCCTTCAAGCAAAAACAGAGAGAGAAGAGCTTTTCCAGTGGAGGTGGGAAGATACCATGGTGTGCAATTCCACTGTACAAAGACTGATTGTCAAATTTCAGAAATGTTGTGAGCTGGATACGTGCATTTTGGTGGTTTGAACTGGCATGGTGGAGAAGTCAGCAAATGCTACAAATTGTTCAGCATTTACCAGCACATCACAGGCTGACAGTGGATGGGTTTTTGAAACTTTATTAGCAAACTTTAAGCCTTACTAACTAAATGCATATTGCAAACATCCACCTCTTAGCCCACAGTCATCGATGTCATTTTCAGAGATAATGTAACTGAAGTTATGGTACTTAATTTTTCTTTAGCCAAATTTTCAAGGCTTTGAAAATCATGTGTATTAAAAATGCAGTTACCTAAGCTATATTAAACTGGTATTTTCATAGATCAAGACAATCACGTCTGCAATTTCCTCTGGTTCAACTGAAGTACACCCATCACCCAATTTAAGAAACAGAACATTACTCAGTTAAACTCTTGTGTTCCCCCTCTAACACTTTCTTCCTTCCCGCTGAGGTGACTCCTCTAAATTATCCATCATTCTCAAGTAGACCTCTGAACTTTAACTACATGCCAACATCCTTTTAATAACTTGACATGATCCTTACATGATGTCAAACTATGTATTCTTTCATTACTTGCTCAGTGTTGAGATTCATCTGTATTGATACACACAGCTCTAGTCTATTTCCATTAAGTGTATTTTACTATTAATTTATTTACTCTTGTTGGACACCTACTCAGCAATTTTTTATTAAGAATACTGCAACATTATTGAACAGACCCTTTTGAGTACATGTGCAGGCAATTGGAAATTTTGCAGTCTCTGATTCCAGGGATGTTGAGTTTGTCCACACATACACATCTTATGGACTTCCTTCCCTCTTGTGTTGAATTGCTCGTATTCTTTAAGTCACTTTTCTGTGGATGGTTTCAGTACTTTCAACGAGCATTTTGTATTTTGGGTATTAATCCTTTATTGGTCATATGTTTTGCAAGTATCTTTTCTCATTCACTGGGCTGCTGGAACTTTTCTCACCATGGCATTATACTGTATCTCAGTGGTTGGCAAACTGCAGCCTGCAAGCCAAATTCAGTGCCCTATTTTTGCAAATAAAGTTCTGCTGAAACACAGCCATATCCATTCATTTGCCTACTATCCACAGCCACTTTGGGTGGAGTTGAATAATTGAGACCATCTGGCCCTTTACAGATAGCTTGGGGATTCCTGTTCTATTCTGTAATTTAACTATTTCTAATTTTGGACATACAAGGTTGTTCTCCTTTTTAATTAAGAAATATGATGAGCATCATGACTAAACTGTCAACCTTTTTTCTTTAGACTCTCAAATGGGAACCTGGATCAGAGTTCAGAAAAATTTTTTAAAGCTTTTGAGATATCATGGCAATCTGCTCAAAGTGTCTCAATCTACCTTCCCGTCACCCTATCCCAAATGGTCTTCTACCTTCATAGAAATAAGTACTACTAAAAAATAACTTGATCAAAAATGAAATCTGGTTGAAAACTGCATGAGTATTAAGATCACTTCCTGATTTCAGTATTTTACATTTGGAATTTTATAAGGTTAAGTTCCCCCACACCTTTCTATTCCTTTTTAAGGAAAAGATGAACCTCCTATAAGCTTCTTCATTCTTTGGAATGAACATCAGAATCAATTCACCAATTAAGAACACAGGGTTCTACTTTAGTAGAATTCGTGCCTCATATAGAAAATTCCCGAGTATCATAATTCTTCCAAGTGGTAAAGATACCTCAAGACAAATGCTGGGCATAGAAGCCACAGGGCATAAATCTGCAAAGTAAAAAGCTAACCTTTTCAAACAATATTGCTTCTCTCTCACTTACAAACTTTACATTTCCCTGTATGGCCCCAGAAAATGACTGGTTAGCCAGAGATGGGTAAGATTCCTCAAGGGTGGAACAACCTAAGACAGGCACAGTCGCAGGAGGGCCATCAGGAGAGAAATTGGGGATCAACAGAGGGGAGGCTTAGAACCTCACCCCCCGTTTTGAGAGAAATCTTCTGCATCCGTGGATGTTTTGCTGCCTTGTCTAGCTTGGATTAATACTTAGTCTATAGGCACAGACCTTATCTACATTTGCCCTCTTAGAGCACTAAATTATGTTTTCTACCTTTATCTTGCATCTACCTACCACTTCAGCATTTTATTAAAAAAATAATAAGGGAGAAATGTGGGATTCACATATAAATCAAGTATAAAAATCAAACAAATAATCATCTGACTTGACTGTTTATAGTTCATGATGCATGATCAAAACCCAGTTTCTGTGATATGACTGCCCTTGCACTGTTCACCATGTAAGAACTTGTTTGTTATGCTTCAGAAGATTGGAGACTGTTGAGAAATAGGCTTGGGGTTGATTAATGACTGTGCATTGAGTCCCCTGTACAGAATTTTATTGTTGTTAACAACCATTTGATCAATAAATGAGAGATGCCCACTCAAAAAAAAAAAA